CGTTGCCCGCCCCGTTCCTCCACTTCATCTAGAGGCTGGGAACCATACCCAGCCTGCTAATGGCTATTTTAAATTGCCATAGCAGAGGAGGACCTGAAGGAGAACTTTCTCCTTCCGGCCCCATCTCTGCTGATTGACAGCAGGCAGTGAGCGGGTGCAAAAGCCAGCCTGCTATTGGCTATTGCAATTTTTATTTTATTTTATCCGATTGATCAAAAAAAATTCGGCCAACTAATTGATTATGAAAATAATAATTAGTTGCCGCCCTAAATAGGATGCAGTTACTGTTTAATCGAGAATTTTCCAACTTGCTTAGTAAATTTGTAAATCTACGTAGTTTAATTGACATGGCGTGAACAACCCCTCATAGTGAGCAAATGCACGCAAATGTCCCCATGTCGGCCGGCTTTAAAACTGTTCTTCCACTGGCAGTGGTTTATGTAGGACCTAAAAACAATAAATAGGCCATACTGTTGAAGTGCTTGAGTTTTTTGAAGTTTATTAAAGCGCTTTTTGAGTTTTTCCCCTACAATTTTATTGCCGTCTGCCGGGTCATTCTACTCTTATCTGCCCAGTGCGTTTGAAAAGTTGTTTCAAATGTAATAAGAAGGAACGAGAGTCATAGATCCTGTATTAACACTGGTTGTTCCTGTGTTTGATAGCGGGTTAACTCTGTGACGATAATGAGGTTCTTGAGTAGGGATGCACTGATACCTATACTAGTATAGGTATCGGTTTGATTGCCCGGGAAGTCGGATCCATGCTGTTTGGCCGGCTCCATGCTGATTGGCCAGGAAGCCGGTTTCCCAGCCAATCAGCATTGAGACGGTTTTCTGGCCAATCAGGAAGCCAGGAGGTGGGTCATTAACCGCTGCCCGACTTCCTGATCGACTAGGAAGCCGGCTTCATGCTGTATGACGGGCTCGATGCTGATTGGCTGGGAAGCCGACTTCCCGGCCAGTCAGCATGGAGCAAGCCAAACAGCATAGAGCCAGCTTCCTGGCCAATCAGGAAGCTGGGCGGCCAGTCATTACCCGCCACCTGGTTTCCTGATTGGCTGGGAAGCTGGCTCCATCATGATTGGCCGGCTTGATGCTGATTGGCCAATCAGCAAGCCGGGCAAGGAAAGTTCTACCCTCCTAACCTTTTTATGGCTGCCCTAATGAAAGTCAACCAAGCATGATTGCAGATCACCAATAAATTAGCATTTGACAGATTTAGGTAAACAGAAGAGGGTCTGGCAAAGATAATAACCCGGGGACCTCGTATCCCACTAAGTCATAAAACTGAGTTACAATATCAAACCATTTCATAACTCGGAATTGGAGAGTGATATTGCAGAATTTATTGCACAAATAGCGGTGTCTCGTCAAGACAAAACCATACATATCAATCATGGATGGGTTAGCCTGGTCAGAGGCCTGACAAGCCACATTACCTATCTTGGGCCAACCATAATTGGTACCTCTCCTGGGCCAACCATAATAGGTACACCTGACAAATTTGATGTCTAAATAAAGCTATTTCTATGACGCGCACTAATTTAGGGGTTGTCAGACAGTGAATGAATATTCACCTATATTCTTAGATATGAAATTTGACAGTTTGGGAGGTGCAGAGGACATTGTAAAAACTTAGCCCTCCTGCTCACTTTCCCCAGCCCTGCCTTATGGGCCGGCTCTGTGACACCCCTAGAGGAATGACAAAAAGATGCTGCAGAGGCAGCTAAAAAGACTCTTGTTTAACATCAAGAGGGACTCTTGCAAAATCAAGAAGCTCGCAACACCAAAGCTCCAAGAAGAGTTCCCCTTTAACATCAGGAAAGACTGCGCAATCCTTATTTGGAGAAGAGCCATTCAGATCCATCTTTTGCGCATTGAACTGGACTATCAGAATCTATAAATCCAGGACTGTTAAGTGTTCTCTTTTTATTTTACTGTTGTTGTATATTTGCCTATTTATTAATATCTTTTTCTGTATATTTTTCCTGCACCGTTTCTTTGATTAAAGGACGATCTTAACAATCGTTAAGCTTATCTCTACACTCTAAAATATGAACTTAAAGTATCCTGGTCTCCGTGAGGAGCGCTACTGTATAGTGAAACTTATCATATTCTTGTCTGAGAGGACAGCGGTATCCAGTTCTAATGTTGCAGTAGCGTGCTGGACTTACCTGAGACCCTGCAGAGCACACCTGAGACTCTCTATGGTTGGCTCTGCAGGGTCCCCCTGGGCTGGTATTTTTAACTGGAACGCATCAAAAACACGGCCAAACACATAGCACCGTGTCTGCTGATCCGCACATGATCAGGACCTGAAACTCATGTGAACAGGCCCTTAACCCCTTCGTGACTGACGACGTACAGTGTACGTCGCCAGCATCGGGGCTGTTTAAACAGACTCCCGGCGACTTTTGCCGCCGGGACTCTGTTTAAACTTGTAGAGCCGACTGTCGGCTTTACAACAGAAGCGATCCTGGCGACTTACCTGTCGCCAGATCGCTTCTACGTCCCGAAAAAGGCCCCCCCTGCCAGACACCCTCGCCGTGCTTCCCGGGCTCCGTTGCCCCTCCTAAGGGCCCGGGACCGGCGATCTTTGTGTCTGCGGGGAGCTGGGGAGGAGGTCGACGAACTTCCGTTCATCGATCCCCTCCCCGTTCTATGGGACCGGGAGCGATGCAGATTGCATCACTTCCGGTCCCTGGGCTGTCAGTTCTGGGCTCCTGCAGCCCAGCTATAAGCTATTGAAGTGCGATCTGCACTTCAATAGCTTATTTCCAGTGTAAAGGTGACACTGAGGGTCTTTTGGACCCCCAGCATCACCTTAAAGAGGACCTGTCACCACCATCTGCTATTACATGGGGGGGCTTGCAAGCCCCCCCATGTGATAGCAGTCAAAGTAAAGTAAAAAAAAAAAAAAAAACAATTTTTAAAATTAAAATGAAATAAAATAAATCTAATAATAATAAAAAAAAATTTAAAAGTACCCCGCCCCCGCGAGCACGCGCGTCGCCACGTAAACACGCGTCGGGTGCGCCTACGCATGAAAACGACGAACGCGCTACACATGTTGGGTATCGCCGCGCACGCCGGAGTGAGAGCAATAATCCTAGGGCCAGTATTTTGGGGTATTTCTAAATTGATGACCTGTGGGGGCTTTTAAAGTGTCTTTTATTGACTTTTTGGGGTACTGCAGTTTTTCGCCGTTTCACGGTCGCACGCAATCTGTAAACTGGGCATGTTGGGTATCGTTTTACTCGTTGTAACCTCATCTTTTATATTTCATTAAAAAAATGGGTAATTTGTTGTGTTTTGGGGCATTTAATTAAATTTGTCACTAAATTTTGGGGTTTAATAAGGAGTTGCGCTAATATTGCGCAACATAAAAATTTTCAACTACCACCATTTTATTCTATAGGGTCTTGGCATTCAGAAAATATATAATGTTGGGGGGTTTTACGTCATTTTCAGGCCTAAAATGTGGAATATAACATGGGTGCAAAAAATGAAAAAAGGGCCTCAGTCATGAAGAGGTTAAGGAGCTGCTTGCTGGGTCCTCCTGCAGCTACCAATAATGATCGGCCCTAACTTGACCATTATGACTGGGAGGGGCAGGAGGACCAAACAACTCCTTAACCCCCATTCACACTTGATTATGAGTGTTTTCATGCAGCTTCGAAGCAGTTTTTCACATGCAAACAAGTTTTTCATGTGTTTTTGAGCTTCAGACATTTTTGTTTTGGCCTACAGAGAGCAGTATCATCACATTATACTTGTAGCTGCATTCTGTGCTGCGTTGTGGTATCTTGTGCTAGCAGACCTCCCAGTCCAGTAAGACTTCACACCCAATTTCTTTTTAGGCCCTCTGCTGCGTGCTATATTTCTTATAACGGACATCACTGGGGCGTAGATGTTTTTATTGGCCCTCACCAGGCAGATGAAAATCCCACATCCAGCATGGACCCTCCTAAATCTTTAACTTTAAACACAAGCTTGAGGTTGCTATGAGGATGTGACTAGATAGTAAGTGCAAAACGTGCTAAAACACTTGTGTCATATATATTTAGACAAGTGGTTATAAAAACGTGTGATTCCACCCTAGAAGAAAAGCCTGTGCACTATTTCGCCAAATGAGTAACAGAAGTACACTTGGGGTGAACAAGCACTATTGAACATAATGGGAAACTGAAAAATGTTAACAAATCCCTCAGGTGCGAATGGGAGCTACAGGTCAATGCTGAGGAAACCCTTCCACTCAGTATTAGAAGCAGAGCTTTGTCATGGCAGCCTCTTTATTCCTCTCAGCACACCCTGTCCTGACACCAACGCTTCTGGGTGTGATATTATCAGCCGCTGGCCGGAAATTGTCTAGAGTGGAATGGAAAGAGCTAGTAACAGGCATTGTGCGGCCGTCCCCTCTCATTCCTTGCTATATGCCGTCCTATGAGACAGAGACAGCCATGTCCCTTCTCTTCCCGCCTGTATGAGGCGGACCTGTCCCTCATCACCCGCCTCCCTCCTGTGGCCGACCAGTCCCGTACCCTTCCTATGGAGTGTGGACTGTGGAAAGGACCATTGACAAGCATTGTGTAACGCTATTCTCCCCTTCCTGACTATACGTCGACCTATGAGGTAGCCATGTCCCTCATCCTCCTCCCTTCTGTATGAGGCAGGCCAGTTCCGTATTCTCCTCCCTGTGGAAAGGACCAGTGACAAGGATTGTGTAACGCTACTCTCCCCTTCCTGGTCATATGCCGTCCTATGAGGCAGGCCTGTCTGTTCTTCTCCTCTATGAGGCAGCCCTCTTCTCCTCCTCCCTGTGCCTTGCCCAGCAAGCTCTGGTCCCTCCTTTCACCGGCACAGCTCCTCCTCTGCTCTTGTGGTTGGCCGCCGGTTTCCCGCTTTGCCCCGACACCGCCATTTTAAATAAAAATAAATAATTAAGATAGCAATACAGGTCCGTGCAACTCCCTCCCGTACGGTTTAACCGGAATAGTTTTTATCGGTGGCCGAGCGCTTTCTTCAGCCGGTCTGTATCTCCTCCCCTCGTCTCTTCCCGCCAAGTGTGAGCGAGGCTCGTCCAGCCATCTGATCTTCCCGCTGCGCCATCTCAGCCGCCGGCCCGAGCACACAGGTTGGTGAGCGCTATACTGTCATGTATGTGAGCTGTGTATGTCTGGCTTATGCTGTCATATATGTGTGCCGCTCGTGTCATGTATGTGTGCAGTCTGTCATGTGTACACACCAGGCTCCATTGGGAAAGCCCGCCAGGCTGTGCGCCTATCACCAGCTCTCCTGTCAGATGCACTTGTGTATATTTGGCACAGATGAACACGGCCCCCCCACAGTGCAGCATGAGTTGTATGTCTGCTACTATGTTCTTGTGACATGTGAGTCTGTAATCGCTCCAGCAGTGATTTGTTTTGGGTCTAGTCCTATACAGACAGGTGTATGTGTATAGCTGGCCATGCATTATACAATCTCCTTTTTTAGATTTACCAAAACTGTTATTTATTTTTATATATAGATAATATAGTGTATGGTCAGCTTTACTGATCTTACCCCATCACAGGGGTGCCACTTCTTGACCCCTAGACCTACATTATCCCCTATAAAGGATGTGTGTTTCTTGTTCCGGGTTTCTATTTTTATGACATTGTAGGATAGTGGCTCAGTGTTCAGCTCTGATCATGCTGACCAGTATCGTCCAATCAGAATTCAGCAGAGTGACTGATGATTGGCTGCTTTGGGGAATACAATAATGAAGGGTCCTCTCTCTGCAGGCAAGCTGTTGTGTCAGTTGTCATCAGGAAATTCTCTGTGTGTGTTCTTGTAGCATCAGGTGTGGCCACCAGATAGTATTGTATTTCCCGCCTCCTAGATGCCTGGGGAGCTGTCATTACTACAGGGAATACTGCTTCTAGTAATTAATTTCTATGCATAGCCATGCTCTGTCAATGGGAAAACATGTTTACTTGTATTTTCACAGGTTTTGTCGAATGGCCACCTTAAACTTCATAGTGTAACACCAACTGACCGAAATCTAGTTTGCTTAACCACCTGAGTACCGGGCTGTCTTTATTACCAGGCCGTATTTCAGACTTCAGTACTGTCTTAGTTTGACAATCCCTCAGTCATGCAATCTTGTAACCAGATAAATCTTTAATTATTTGAGCTAGGGCTTTCTTTTGGTGCTATTTAATAACTGGCGGTTGGCTTGTTTTTGTGTTTGTGTTTTTTTTTCTTTGCTTTTGTTATTTAAAGCAAGGGGGGGGGGGACCCAAACCAAAACATTTCTGTTAGAGCTTTAAGTGACATTAAAGTCAGCATTTTTTTTCCCCTCCTTTTGTAGTTTATGCTGTAAGGATTTATCTTAACGGGTTATTAAACCCTCACTTTTTTTTGCATATATCTACTGCTAGCAAGCAGCAGATATATGTAAAAACCTTTTTTAAAAAAAAACAAAACCTTTTGAAACGGGTTTAAACTTACCTGTGTTTTCGGCCGGGAGACGAGGAGCAACGCATGGTAAGTCTACGGACCAGCGTGCACCCGCACAGACACCATGGGGCAACAGAGGAGTCAGCGCTGGATCGGAGACCCGCCATAGCGCTGGAGGAACGGCTGAAAAGGACAGTAAAGAAGATCGAATAAAGAGGCATCATTTAAGGCAAGTCCTGACACTAACATTGGGTGGAGGGAGAAAAAAAAAAGCCTTTAAAAGAGAACTATGGGGTAAGTGTTTGTCCCCATAGTTATCTCTAGTGTCACGGGAGCGCATATACTAGCGTCCTCGCATGAGCCAAAGCTCAGTATATTGCTGCCTATTGCCCGCTAAATGCTAATAGCGCTGCAGCCGGGACAGATCCCGACATTACTGTCGAGATCCACCCAGCTGCGTGAGTGACAGCTGGCTCTGCCTATCTTTTTTTTTTTTTTTTTAATTTAAAAATGGCAGCTGTATTTAAGACTTTCAAGTGAAGCAAGGGATCTGGTTACTCTGGACAAATACCCAGGTTCAGAGAATAGTTTATATAGTCTGTGAAAAACCAGCCTAACCTTATGTTGTTCTGACACCTATTGACTATACAGACAGTAAGGAGAAATCTGTGAGATGGTGAACATAGACCCTCTGTCAACATTTTACTTTTTGTTTAGTGTTTTTTTTTTCACACCACAATTGCAGTTATTCTTTTTGCCCCCTTCCTCTGACTTAACAGATTCCACTTTACCTCTCCACGTATGCTCCATTTATTATCAATCAACTGTGTTTTAGGCTGGGCACACACCTTACAACCATCGCAAGACTTCTGTCTTGCGATGGATGCAAGGTACTTAAAAAAACGTACGATCTGCCTATGTTGCTGCTGTAGCTCGCTGTATACTGAGCTTAGGGTAACGGGAGGACGCTAGTTTGTGTCCTCCCGCTACCCTAAGGAGAACTATGGGGCAAAATCCTGACCCCATAGTTCTCCTTTTTTAATACAGTTTGTTGCCCCATTTTAACATCAATGACCGCTTGAAGTCTTTTGTGGTATGTGTGGATGAGGCTCTTTATCTTCTCAGATGGTAAAGCTGCCAATTCTTCCTGGCAAAAAGCCTCCAGGTCCTGTAAATTCTTGGGCTGTCTTGCATGAACTGCACGTTTGAGATGTCCCCAGAGTGGCTCAATAATATTGAGGTCAGGAGACTAAGATGGCCACTCCAGAACCTTCACTTTATGCTGCTGTAGCCAATGACAGGTCGACTTGGCCTTGTGTTTAGGATCATTGTCATGTTGGAATGTCCAAGTACGTCCCATGCGCAGCTTCCAGGCTGATGCATGCACATTGTCCTCCAGTATCTTTTGATAACATACTGCATTCATCGTGCCATCAATTCTGACCAAGTTTCCTTTGCAGCTCGCACATCCCCAAAACATCAGCGATCCACCTCCGTGTTTCACAGTAGGAATGGGTGTACTTTTCATCATAGGCCTTGTTGACTCTCCAAATGTAGCGTTTATGGTTGTGGCCGAAAAGCTCAATTTTTTGATCTCATCACTCCAAATGACTTTGTGACAGAAGGTTTGAGGCTTGTCTCTGTGCTGTTTGGCCGATTGTAAGCGGGATACTTTGTGGCATTTGCATAGTAATGGCTTTCTTCTGGCGACTCGACCATGCAGCCCATCTTTCTTCAAGTGCCTCCTTATTGTGCATCTTGCAACAGCCACACCACATGTTTTCAGAGTGTCCTGTATTTCACCTGAAGTTATTTGTGGGTTTTTCTTTGCATCCCGTACAATTTCCCTGGCAGTTGTGGCTGACAGTTTAGCTGACCGTGGTTTGGTTTGAACAGAACCCCTCATGTTCCACTTCTTGATTAGAGTTTGAACACTGCTGATTGGCATTCTCAATTCCTTGGATATCTTTTTATATCCCTTTCCTGTTCTATACAGTTCAACAAAACCTTTTCCCGCAGGTCCTTTGACAATTCTTTTGCTTTCCCCATGACTCAGAATCCAGAAACGTCAGTGCAGCACTGGATGAAGGATGCAAGGGTCTGTCAGGAGGCCAGAAACTCATTGGCCATATAGAAACTCATTGGATAGATATCTCTATCCAATGATATATATATATATATCTATCAATCTCAATTATACAAACAGGTGAGGATGGTTCCCTTTTAATAGCCATTCACACCCCTTTTGTGTCAACCTGTGTGCATGTTATCCAAAATCACCAGGGTATGGTATGTAAACTTTTGATCAGGGTCATTTAAGTAGTTTCTGTTGTCATTATGATTGGAAAAGAGTAAACACAGTTGGTTGATAATAAATGGCTTCAGCCAAACACTACCCATGGGTGACAGGTTTTCGTGTTTATCATTCATATTCTCTGAAAAATGGCCAGGAAACCATAAATTCTGCCAGGGTATGTAAACTTATGAACACAACTGTAATGTGTGTATACACACACTCACACTATAGGCTTGAAGGCCAGCTTCATATATTCATTGCAGTAATGTGTGCATTGCAGCCCACCACAATTCACAGTGGCGCACTACTGTGTTATGGTGTGCTGCATCAGCAAGAGTAGTGCAGGTATGTTTTTAAGTGTGTTGTGACGAATTGGCAGCCAAGTCTGAATTGGCTGTGACAATGACAATTTTTAGGACATATGGAGACGATCAATCGATCCTGATGGGACACAGACAGAACCCGCAACCTGTCAAGGGGTTCTAATACTTCCTTACTCTATTCGAAATATATATTTAACAAATGTAAGTAAGGAATTTAAAGAAAAAAGTGTGGGCTAAAATGCAGTTTAAATGATCTAGGATTTGTTGCTATGATTTTTGTTTTGAAGAAATATTTCTAGTAACCCCTGTGAAATGTACCCAATTTACACAAACAGTACTTTCTATGCTACTTACAGGTCTTCAAACATGTCTTCTGATGTATCGGATAGCCTGACAAAAGAGGAAATTGATGCTGTTGAACAGGCAACAGAGGAGAAAGTTATTGATGAAGCTGCTAATGGAAGTGAAGGAGGAGAAAATGAAGAGGAGGAGGAAGATGAGGAGGAAGATGATGATGACAAAAAAGGTATGTGTATTTTTAAAGTGAGGTTCACAGTGTTTTGTGACGGTAATCTGAATTGCCCAAATTTAACTTGCAATGCAAAAAATTAGATTCCAATGGCATGTACTGTATAATTGTTTTGTGCTGTCTTGGGTATGTGCTACAATAGTTTATCTGATGGGTCCTGCTGCACTACAGCCTGAAGTAATAATTGTAAATCTTATTTCTTTCCTGTCCAGAAAAAAGTCTAATTGTTGAGGGTAAAAGAGAAAAGAAAAAGGTGGAGCGATTAAGCTTGGAAATGACTGTTGTAAAGAAGGAGCCAGTCCTAACTGAAGGTACTGTATAGTAATTTACATTGCGAGATAACACCAAACCCCCCCCAAAAAAATGTCCTTGTCCTATTTCAAACGTGTTGTTGCAGTAGTTATTTGTTGTCTTCACAAACTGCCTTATGATCTGCAGATATTGGTCATAATAACCACCCTAAGTGCCTTTAAAAACATCAGCTTATCTTGAATAGTCTACGTAAATTCAGCGTTAAATTCTTTTAGTTCAACTAAAGCCAGAAAGTTAAGAATTCATTTTGAACTTCTTTACTATGTAACTGCATTGTCTTCCAGGAAAGGGTCAAAAATTGCATGATATAGAACGCATCTACTACTTCTTGAAGAAGAAGAAATGTGAGGAGTTACGACTTTTGCATCGCCTACTTTTTAATCGCCCAGGCACAGTAAGTATGTCATGCAAACAGTTTCTTTTCAGGTGAAAGCTTACTTTTCCGCATGACTACATAGAACATGTTGTACCTTTTTCCTTCAAAATCTGTCTGGCAATTCTCACCGGTATATAAACCTTGCACAGACAGCCTTTAATGCATGACATTGGTTTTAAGGGACAATATTTCCTCAAGTCCCTCCAGCAGTGACTGTTTTTTCAGGGCACCCTGCTTATGGACGGATGGAGTTATTGGTGTCTGAGCAATGCAGTTTATTTGACTTTGTGGCTATCCACAGAATTTGAACTTTTTGGCAACACTTAAAAGGAGATCTGCACTGGAAATGATTGTGTGCTACCGTTTGAAAATACTTACTGCTTGGCTGATTTACTGACATCAATTATTTCATGGCGCCATGTAATTCTGAGGTGACAGCAGGAGACTGTCTTCCCAGAAATGGTCACAAGGCCCAGTGCCCGGCCTAATCTTGGGGCTCTGGAGGAGCAGAGAGACTCTACAGGGGATGTCATTGGGATGTAGCTTGAGTCTCTGTAATCAAGGTGTGCAAAGAGTTGAGCGCACGTGGTCAAAAACCCTGAGTAGTTGCGAAGGTCCCAGAGGACGAGATAGGGGGCTTTGGCCCATCCAACAGAGCAGAGGAACCTATGATGATAGAGGTTCCAGATTACAAGTGCTGATTCCCTCAGATGATAACTGGGTAAGCAGCCAATGCCTGGATGCACCCTGAGGGGTCATGGGCCCCACTTGAGAGCATGTTGGAAATGTGTAGCTTTGAGAGGGAATTTAGTTAAATGGTAGACTGTTCCAGGAACTTTGACAGCATGTGTCATTGAGTTAGTTCCCTCCCAAAGGAATCTCCTCAGCCTGACTGGACCATCGTTTCAGAGAGTCGGTGGTGCAAATATCTGGGGCTTTATCAGGGGTGTGGAAATTTTAAACAAAAAAAAACAACTTCTCGTAATGGCATAGGAGGCCAGAGCGTGCCCTTGCCATGTTGTAGAAGGTCTAGAGAGAAGTTGTCTGAATCCCACCCTTCATGATGGGGACAACCAAGGGACGCAGAGTTTGAAAACTAATAGCATCCTATCAGTCTGGGACTGAGGCCTATTTTTAATTGAGGTCTTCTCTTTGACTTTGTTTTGTGGACACTCTTCCTTCTGTGCTGTTGATATCATGGGAACAAAGTCTTTGGGTTTTCTAGTGGGCTCACTATTGTCTTCATGCCCTCGTAGGCTATTGGGTTGTAGTATTGCTGTACCTTCTCTAGTGTACTTCGATTAGCGTGGTGGGTCCTTTTCTTCCCTGTTCGTTCTTGTTCCAATGGTTTTGGTGTGTTCTGATTTTGATCAGCATCACATTGGCTCTGGTTCGGTTTTCCCTTTTGTGTGACGTCATTCCGGCAGTAATCCTCCGTGCTCTCTCCGTTTGGTCATGGTGGCAAGTTCTCCCTATATGGTAGGAGGCCCATCTCACCCATTCAGACATTAATTCTTCAGACAGCTCTACGGTTGCAGACGGGTCCTCCTCTCCTACTGAGGCCTGTTGGGGGTGTGTGTGTGTGTGTGTCCCTTTTTTTTTTCTTTTCTCCTCCTTTTTTTTCCTTTTTCTCCCCCCCGATGTACTACAATCTCATGTTTAGTTTTTTAGTTTACTCGTTTGTATTGAGATTATAGTTCATCACGGGAGTGAGCTTGAAATTGCAATATGCACCACAATGCATGAACAAATGTGAATGTAGTTCATATAAATAAACCATTAACTTATATTTTACATTGTTTTTAAACTCTTTTAGGTTAACCTAATAAAAAAGAATATTGGCCAGTTCAATGGATTTGCATTTGAGGCTGGAAGTGACCAGCACAAAAAGAAGGAAGAGATGCTTAAAAAGTAAGTACTTCTTTTAGTTGTATGTTCATTGTATTTTACTTGTCCCTAGTTCCCGCTGAGTTCATAATTAATCATGCTTTCTATTTTTTAGGTTTAAAAAGAGCGATTTGAAAAATATTTGTGGCATTCTTGATCTAGAAAAGTCTGGTGCAAACATCGAGTTAGTTTCTAGGATTCTAAATTTCCTCTTGGAGCCCAAGTCTACAGGAAAAGTAAGGCTTGATCACAATATAGATGTGCATATACATTGTAAATGAAGTTTTGTGCATGTGTGGTTTTTATTTGGTGGGTTTGTTTGTTTTTATGGGGGGGGGGGTTTTCCTCAAGGTTTGCAAAAAAAAATATTAAACATTTGGGTGAAATGTGGCATGGTTTGATTATTCCCCCCCCCTGATTATTTTCTAGTTCGCCGTAATGTTACAGCAAATATCTTCTATCAGTGGCCATGTCCCTATGTTTTTATCCATTTACACCCTTGAAGACCGCTGTGTTAATCCCCCTTTCTGTCCAGCGCTGAGGTACTTTGACTGACTGACATTTATTCAATCATGCCACTCTGTAGTTAAATTAATTGTAGATATTTTTTTGGGGGACAGATATAGAGCTTTCTTTTGGTGGTATTGAATCACCACTGGGGTGTTTTTTTTGTTTTTTTTACTATAAAAAAGCAATTCAGAAAATTTTGAAAAACAAACCTGTTTTCTTTATTTTATGTCATCAAACATTTATTAGCTGATTTTTTTTTTTTGTTAAAATCTAAAAGATGGGGTAACGTCTGGTAAATTAGAAACCAAACATGTCAAGCCTTAAGGTGCCCATACACTCTACAACCCTCACAAGACTTATGTCTTGCGAGGGTTGTAAAGTACTTTTAAAAAACGTACGATCTGCCCATCTTGGACAGGCAGATTGTACTTGCGATCATCGTAAGGCCGCCACCCTGAGGGGCGGGCTTCCGATGACTGCAATGCTGAACGGGCAGTGTGCGCGTGCGCACACCGGCCCGTTCGGCTGTTATCTCTCGATCATGTTAAAAACCAGCCGAAAATCATACGATTCTCGGCTGGTTTTCCAACATGCTCGATATAAAAAAGTCGTGCGACCGTACATTAGAAACGGTTGCACGCCTTCCATACACTGCACAATTCTTGTACGATCGTGGGATTTCCCGCGATTCTCGTACGAGAATCGTGCAGTGTATGGGCACCTTTTAAAAATGTGTGCGCACACAAAATCACAAGAAAACTACCGACAATTGACAATGGGTGACGCTTTTATGAGCTTTTACTGCTCATCGGTTTAGTATTAACTGTGATTGATGGCCCCAAAATGATTGCTCTCACTCAGTTTGCAGAGACATGTGTTGTAATCATAGTTTTTGAACGTAGGCGTACCTGACGCGTGTTTGAGTTTTGCATGTGAACTGAGAGAACTCGTAATGGTCGCAAAGTTACCTAATCTATCCAAAAGTAAAAAAGAAAAACCACCCAGATCTTTAAGGCATTAAAACAGTAGAAAATTACCTTGCACTCCAGAACTTTCAGGGATGTTTCAATCTGATAATTGGAGATTATGTGGATGGGCTTTGTCATCTAAGCAATGGTGAAATCACTCGATTTACTTTAGAAGGCTGTATGGAGTTACGAGGGAACAACGTTTGCTCTGTAAAATAACCTTTTTTTTTTTTCTTGACCATGTAGTGCAGTCTTCGGACCTAATGATTCTCACAAGATGAGCACCTTTCTCATTATGGAACTCCAACATTTAAAAAATAAGTCACTTTGCTAAATGTGTTAATGTGTTAAAACTGAAAGCAGGATCGGTTAGGAAAGAGGTTTATTCAGTTTCCTTTCTGGATATAGATCTATATATATATTTTTCTCCCATGCAGATACTGTGGTTTTAGATGCAAATTGTACTTCATGTAATTCTTTTTTTTAAGGTAGTTTACTCCCATGTTATGCTTTTCTAATTATGTGCTTTTGTATACAGAATTCACACCACAACAAGGAAAAGCTCAGATATGTAGTTTAGTTTTATGTCCAACCGGTTTAAATGTTTTGGGTGTGGTATCCTAAATGAAAACAGTCTTATTTGTCTAGTGAGGGAGGGAACACCTTTTTTTTTTTTTTTTTTTTTTTTTTTTTTTGTGTATTTTTTTTTTTTTTTTAATACAA